ATATTTCTGTTCTCATGAGCTCTCTCACTTGCGGATTTGGTAAGATTCAGTCACGGCGCCATCCGGCGACAAATGGCGCCTAATTCAGCGCTGAAAACGGATTTCACATTCGTGGTCAGGACCCTCTATAACCCCCGTAGGAGAAATTTCAGCAAAAAATTTTTGACCTGACTCACACCTGCTGGGGTTGGAGTGCCGATTTTTCTTCATCCTTTCATCACTGACCGCCTCTAACTCGATTCTTATGTAGTGGGCTGTTTTTTCATTATTTTTTGATCTCTGCTTTCTGTAGCGTTTTTGGCACTTTTTCCTTTTTCTTGAACAACGAGTCAAGTAAAGCGTACCGATTTATACTAGCAGCCTGTCACCCCTTTTCCCTATCAAGGATTAAGTTTCACTCAACGCCTTGACCGAGATTACAAAGATGTGCAACGCTAAGTAAAAGATGAACAACGCGTTGAAGATCTACCTGTACGTATCGGAAGTTGCATTCTGGAGTGGAGGAGTTCTTGAGGTAAATTGAAGGATACAGCGCTTGGCTTGCATTGTAGATGTACATCATCCTGAACCACCACCACCTTATCGGCACCGCGAGATGGTCTCAACTGCCACTACGTAGCAGTAAAACAAATAACCACCGGATAAATGGGATTCATACTAGTGCTGGCCTTAAGATGTAATCGTAGCGACAAATGGAATGTGCTATTATGCTACAAAATTCGGTTAAAATTGTATTTGTATTTAAGTAAGTTGTGTAGACTCCTGACCTGTTGTTGTAGTTTCGGTAGTCCTCGCGACATCTGGTCTCGTTCTTTTCTCCAGCGTTGTAGTTGCAATATGGAAAGCCATACAGCCCCCAGCGAGTTTCATTCCGAAAGCTTTTTGCATCAGTTAAAGACTGCTCGATGAAGACCCTGAATAATTGGAAAAAAATTATTCTAGCTTCGTCTTCGTCCGCTTTCTGTGCTTGAGGTATCGTCGCTCTTCTTCCGGTGGCAGCTTAAATAACCAACATAACTAAAATGTATGCGAACCTAGCTGTCTCGTTGTATTCCAGCATAGCGGTATCGTTAAGTTCTTTTTCAGGGAGGGATGTATGGTTCTTTTTAGTAAGTTCGATTGCCGCCAGCTTGTACACCTGCAACAACCAATGTATAACGATGTATAAAACTATCAATCCAACTATTGTGGTACCTTGTATCGCAGGCAAATCGTAGCTAGCGTTTATAGCAGGACAACAAAAAAAAAAAAAAATTAGCTTTCAACTAAAATTTCTTTCCTAGCACTAACACTTTGACGAGACTGAGACGTGGTACGCTCAATATCATGTCTAGACGTGGTTATGGCAAAGTTTGTGGGATTTATTTATTTTATATTTATAGCTATTGTACAATGTTGGTAAAACAAATCAATACGTGAATAAAAGCTAGCTTACAATAGGCATATGACAGTAAATTAGACAGGAACAAATAATAATAGGAAATCAGGATAAGAAAATACAATATAAAAAAAGGGGGCGGGGAGGGGGGGGGTGATGGCCTTAAAAAAGGAGGCGAAGGGCAATGGCCGGCCAACATTGCAAGCCGCGGGCGCATTACGGCTCCGGATACCAACTTAGTAGGTCCGCCAACTCCTCCTATGGCCGCAAGGGATGGGAGATTTAGCCAGAGATATGAAGACACAAGACACGAGACACGAGGCATACAATCGCAAATTTGTACGAAAGGTCAAGTGGGAGAATCAGTGACATAGAAGGGAAATTAGAGATGATAAGTTAGAAATGAGATAATCAAGTAGGTTACAGTGGAAGGGCGGATTGACGGTTGCTGAAATGAGTAGGTATTAGCTTCAGTAAAGAGGGCGAACCCGCGTGCCTCGCGGACGTAGCGGTCTATCTTCGTCATCTCTTTTTTACTGAGGTTCGGCGGTTTCATTTCTAAAATTCCGATTTGATCTATCTCATCAAATTCTGGATATACATGTGTTGTTGTTTTGTTCTTTTTGAATTTATTGTTTACGCAATTGATTTCTCTCTATTCCATTCCAATTTTTACGCATTTCAAGTGACTTTCCCTATTCACCACTTCCCTCCGACTAAATTCCCTTTGGTTGACTGTCCTTTATTTTGCGCTTGTCATTCTACTTCGCCTAGATGGCGGATTTGCCGACTGATCTCCCCGAACTCCCATTTTTACTCTTGTTGCACTGCATTCAGTGTTGAGTTCTGGAAAACCCACCTTGTTGGACAGTGAGACACGGTTGAGTGTCTCAGTGATGCCCGCCAAAGTGCTTATGTCCCACGTGGTCTCCAAAGCCAAAACGTGCGCTGCGGTCAAGGTTTGTTGCTAGGTGCCCACTTTCCTCATTGCAGGGCATAGCCTTGGTTCCAGTGAGATTGTTCTTATAATCACATCCTTCAACATCTTCTTCGAAAAATATCGCGGTTGCAGGCCCTAGGCTCCAAAAGAGCGCTGACCTTTTCTATAACATTTCAGGCCGCGCGCTTTCAGAATTTCTCTACTTCGATAATTTTCACGTTCCTTTGTGCATTATTCGGAGCTCAGGAGGCTATTATCCTCCACAATTGTTGGAGATTAGCCCTTGGCAACACTTCTGCACGTGGTCCTGGTAGCAATATGCCCAGCTTGGAGATCTCCGTGAGCAGGTGGTGCACACTTTCCCAATGGCGTTGAAAATTGCCTTCAGAGCGCCTAGAGCACCTATGAACAGAATTCTGAAGAATCCGCTTGGGTGAGCTGCTATTCATTGGTGGGCAGGTCTGCGTAAGGGCAGTCGTGAAACGCGAAACAGTGGGTAGCTAGCACGCGAAACCATGATGGGGATGTTTAACGCTGAGGGGAGCAGGTAATGCCCTCCGCGTGCAGCAAAACGTCCTCAGATGCGCAGCCGGCATCGCCTGTCTGAGGGGTGCGGTGGTCGGGTATCCTCCCCCTCATGGTCAGGAGGCCCGTCGCGCGACGAAGTCAGAGACGCAGGCGCGGCAGAGGATAAGTCGCACCACATTCTGTAGCGGTTAGGCGTCAATTCAATTTACATGGTAGTACGTCCCATTCCATTCGATCCACGGCGTGGGCTCAAAA